CGTCACAATCCGGGCGGCCTCGGCGTTCCCAGGCCGGCGATTGAAGCGGGCAGCTCGCGCCTGAGCCATGGACTTCCCCTGGACCCTCCTCGGCCCCTCCCACCCCCTGGCTGCCGGCCCCCCCCTCCGGGGCTAGCGCTCGACGGCGGCTCCGAGGGGGCGGGGCTCTGGGAATGGCTGTGCCCCCTTCGGCTCCTCTGCCGTGCTCGCCCTTTTACCTGGGGAGGCAGACGTCTTGCCTGCAGTGCTCATGGGGCATGGAGGAGAAGGCGGTGGCCAGCGCGGGCTGCCGGGAGTCCCCGGCCCCCCCGAAGGCCGGCTCCGTCCCGTGCTTCAACATATCGGTGGACCAGGAGGACATCCTCCCGGGCGCCCTGCGCCTCATCCAGGAGCTGCGGCCGCACTGGAAGCCCGAGCAAGTTCGGACCAAGGTAACCGAGAGCGGGCGCGTGGCCGGGGGCTGAGGCTGGGGCCCTGCCCGGGCCGGAGCCAGAGCGCTGATGCGCTGGCTGGGTGGCAGAGTATCGGGCCCCGGGGGGCGCAGAGCTGCCGCGCAGGAGAGGTTTGGAACGGTGGGTGCTGTGTAGATTGGGCCCTCCATCTATTTCGCTCCGTAAACCAAGCTAGGCTGACACCCCCTGGCCCCTCCACACGCAGCCCCTTCGCTGGGGCCTCTGAGGCAACCCCAGAGCCACCTGCCCAGTGGTAGCGTGGTGCGCGTGCGGGCCCCACCCCCCGGTCGCCAGCACCCGTGCTCTCCGTGCCCAGAAGCGCTTATCCAGCGAGCTCTGGAACCCGAGGAAGCCAGTAACTTTCGAGGTGCCCCCCAACACACACACACACCACCCCCGCCCTCGCCTGCTGCCCCATCTGCATGGAGGGGGCAAAGTCTCAGGGCCAGGGGCCACCCTGCATAATTCCTGCGGGCACATCCCCCACGCAGGGCTCCTTCCCCACCCCAGTCATGGCAATCCTCGGGGACACACATGTGGGCAGAGCCCCTCCCTGGGGAGTGCCAGCCTGCCCCGAATTCTCTGAAAAGAAACTTTCATCTGCCCACCCACTCCCACCTCCTCTTCGGGCTGCCTGTGGAGGAAGGTGCCCAGGCGGGGGTGGTAACTCATGCCAGGCCGTGCAGCGTGTGCTGGAGAATGGGGTAGGGGCCTCGAGGCTGACCAGCATGCTAAGTGGAGAAAGTCAAGGTTTGGGGAGGTAGCAAACCTGGTGTGGAGGATGACAGACCTCTGAGAAGAGGGGGTGGAGGAGGGGGAGTGAATGCAAAGAGAAAGCCACCCTTTCATATTCAGACTGCCAAGCCCACCAGACCTGGGGTTAATTCCAGCACTGTTCTCTCCCACCATGAACCCCGCCAGGCCTCAGTTTCCCCATCTAGAATCAGCTAGCGTCCTGTGAGGTCCCTCCCAGCATTTCACAGTAGCCTTATAATTTAAGTTGTTCCTCCCTTGTCACCCTACTACTAAGAGCCTGCTCTCCAAGCCCGGTATCACCTGTCTCTTCTGGTTCACGCTCTGAGAGGCCCTAAGGGCTTCTCATCCCATCCTCAAAGTCCTGGGGTGGCTGCAGTTTGGGAACCTGCTTTTCGCTCTGCCACTGGATGGGGCAGAGGGTACAGCTAGGTGCCCTCTGCCTGGCTGGCAGTAACCAGCTATGGGGTGGGGATGTTCTCACCTTGCGTGTGTCATTACCCAATGCTGGACCATGGGGGTTTCTTGCAGGACCCGGAGGGTTGGGGGTAGGAGGGGCGGGGACACATCTACCCATCAAGTTGTGTGGCAATGCCTCCCCTGCTGAAGCCCATGGTGAAGTGCTTGACTGCTAACCAACAGGTCGGTGGTTCGAGCCTCCTGTGGGAGAAAGCTATGCAGCCTGCTTCTGTGCAAATTTACCTCTTTGGAAACCATGCAGGGCAGTTGTCCTCTGTCGTGAGTGAGTTGACGCTGACTCTGCTGCAGAGGGGATGCTTTGATTGGTTCGTGGATAGACCCAGGAGGTGTGGATGTGCCTGGGCTGGTGGCAAGTTGTCGTTTTCTCCTTGAACACCGGTCGCCCTACCCCAAGAGTTGGGGATGGAGCGCTTACTGAAGTGAAAAGACTAATGGCCTGAGGGTACCGTGTTGTTGGGGGTTCTGTATGGTCTGCTGAGACGGGGGGCAGTGGGGAGAGATCCGAAAAGCCCTGCCCCCACCCATGCGCTGCCCTGTCCCCATGCTAGCGCTTCACTGATGGCATGACCAACAAGCTGGTGGCCTGCTACGTGGAGGAGGACATGCAGGACTGTGTGCTGGTCAGGGTGTACGGGGAGCGCACCGAGCTGCTGATCGACCGCGAGAATGAGGTCAGAAGCTTCCAGCTGCTGCAAGAACACGGCTGTGCCCCCAAACTGTACTGCACCTTCTGGAATGGGCTGTGTTATGAGTACATGCCAGGCATGGCCTTGGGACCAGAGCATATCGGGGAGCCCCAGCTCTTCAGGTGAGAGTTCCCCCCTGCCCCCCACAATCCCTCAGGCCTGGGGCTTTGACATCCATCTGTGTGGCCTGCTTCCTTGGTGTGGCGTGGATCCACAGGTGAGCGCTCTCAGATCTGTGAACTCCCTGAAATCTCATGAAAACTGCACTTGTTTCTGCACAGTGGTCTGAATTTGGGTGAACATCAGGCCAGAGGGATTTGCATCTACTTCCTGTCCCCGAGCCTTAGCCCTCCGCCCCCTCCAGGTCTGAGCAGGAAACATCTCAGACCTTGGAAATGAAATCTGAGCTGAATTCCCAGGGCTCTCCAGATTCCCTGACCCTCCCCTCCTCTGGCCAGGAGCTCAGAAATTCAAGGAGTGTGGGTCGTGCCCCTGGTGGCACGGTTGGCTCGCCTGTGCCCCCTCCATGTTGGAGCTCCCTAAGGTGGGAGCCTCTGAAGCCTGCTCCTTCTAAATACCTGGGGGTGAGGGCCCAGGAACTGAAGGAACCCTGCAGGTGGGTGCCGCCCAGTGGCAGGAAGGGGGAGCCTCTACTACACTGGCCTCTGGTGGTGCTGGGGCAGCGGTGCTGGGCAGAATCCTCCTTTCTCCCTCCAATGCCAAGCCTCTCAGGCTATGACGAGGCCCGGGCTGACTGAGCTAACTACTAGCTCCCACCCATATAGCAACACTGGAGTCTGTCTGGGACCCTGGGGGGTCTGCCTTGCCTGACCTATCAGAAGGAGATATCTACAGAGCAGGGGAGAGAAATCCAGCCCACCTAGGTGGGGAAACCAAGTCCCTGGGATTGTGTTCACCTGCTAACCTAAAATCCAGCAGTTTGGCCCTTCCCAGTGGCACTGCGAAAGAAAAACCTGTCGATCTGAGCACAGATGACAGCCAGAAAAGTGTACTATCAAACCATTTTACACTGTCACACATGGGGCCTCCTGGGCCAGAATCCATGAAGCAGCCCTGGCTTTTGGTTTTAAGGGGTCAACCCAAAGCTTGCAATTCCCACCCCTCTCCATCTCTCCTCCCCCACCCCCATCTTCCATGTCCTTGGTGGAGCAAAAGAAGCCCCCATCCTGTCCCCCATGCTCCTGCTGGCCTGGCTGTGTCTGCGGGGAGCAGACATGAGCCTGAGCAAGGGTTGTCTAGGCTCCAAGGCACTCAGCCTGGAGATGGGGGAGGGGGGTCAGAGCAGGACGGGGGACCCATATACTATACGCCTCCCGGATCTCCTCTGCCGAGTGCAAATATTGGCAGAGCCCCACCACTCCCAGGCTCCGTGCAGCGCTGTGAGTCTAGCGCTGGCGCTCCATCCCACTCCTGGAAATGATGGCCACTGAGGATGCACAGGGGGTCGATCACAAGGACTGCGCATGTGGGGGCAGGCCAGAACCTGGGGCTTGTGTGGGCAGCGGGTCCTTCCTGGAGGATTGTCTCAGGCTGGACAGCGAAGCCTTGGGATGAGGGTGGCCCTCTGAGGTGAAGGCAGGAGGAGAAGGCCAGGTGTCCTCCTGGACACCCCCGCTCGCCCCGCCACTCCGAGGGCCGAGGCTCGGCAGCAGAAATGCAGAGTGCCCAGGGTCCACACACCCAGCCCTACTGATACTCAGGCAGACGCTCTGCTCCTAGTCTGTTCAGATTCTTCCTCTGCGAAGGGAAGGCCGGGGTGGCAGGTCTCTTCTGCTGCCTCGGCCATGGCTGTGCCCTCCTGACCTCTGAAAACACAGCTTTCTTCTCTTCCCCACTTCCTAGCTGACATGCCCCCTTCAGGGGGCGAGGGCCTTGGGGACTTCTGGCGGCATTCCCCCCACATGGTGTGCCTGTCCCTTCCCAGGACCTGGCCAGGGTGGGCATGTCAGCGGAACCACTTGGGAACAAGATTTCCACCAGGCCTTTGTTGCCTCTCCCTGTGATGATTATTCCAGCAACAGGGTGGCTGCAGTTTGGGAACCTGCTTTTCGCTC